TTTAGATTGCACTAATAAGTAAGTACAATTTTATCATATGTTTTGCAAGTTTATTTCCCTAATAGTAGTAATATTTTAAACCGTTTGATTTTTGTATTAAAGTTTTTTTAATTGATTGATGATTGATTCAATCAACTAATTTGTTGATTGTATTAACTTGATTCTTTAGATATTGAAAATTAAATAAATAACATTATGGTAATTTAAGCGTACAGAAACGTTGGTGTTGTTCCAGCAAAAATCTTATTTTCACTTTACCGAGTGCCTAGTAGGTAATGTGCAGATTACCTAGATACTCTGCAGATTACCTAGGTAATTTGAGAAATGGAATAATTTTCGAAACTTTAACGGATCGCCTAGCTTAATCTGCAGATTAGCTAGGTAATCTGCACATTAACGGATTTCGAGCTTTAGCGGTAACATATACATAAAACAGAAAGAAATTACTATAGGCCCTATAGTCAATTCCACAACAATCCAAATCTTATTTTTTTCCAAAATATTTACTTTCCAAGAGTTATACAATAACAACAACCAGCCACCAACACAGCGACCTCTATAAGTCTGTGTACATACTAGGCGTTTTTAAACGCGCGTTCGACGAGCGTTTGTGGAGCATACACACTGGCTCAGTTTCGAAATGGATGTGAAAGTAATTGCTTGTGTGTGCCTCCCCCATCGTCGCTATAAAAGACGATGGCAGAGGCAAAGAGAATTTTGGGTGCACCCAATATTACGAGATAGACTGACGCATGAAATGTTCGCGACGTTGTATCCAAAACTAAGACAAAATGAACCCAAGTTTTTTAATTCTTTTAAAATATCTATAAAATCCTTTGACGTGGTTGGTCTCTTTTAGATTTCATCAATAAATAGATCAGTATCGAAATGATCGTTCTCCATTTCAGCACATATATCTCAAAGCTCTCGGCTGACGCCCGCAAAACGCGCGATCGAATGTACAGTAACATGGCAGCACATATATCTCAAAGCTCCCGTAAAACGCCCGTAAAACGCGCGTTTTAAGAAAAATCTATAAACGCGCGTTTAACGCGCGCTTGGCCAAAAGCGCGCGTTTGAGTGTGTACGCTTATGCAGAACTCTTGGTTTTTTAAAACGCGCGTTGAAAAACGCCTAGTGTGTACACAGCCTAAGCGTCTCGATAAAGTGCCTCAAAAAAAAAATTTATCCATATTTTTAAAATCGGGAATAGCAGACCTGCCATCCCACCACGTTTCCATTAAAAAATTATATCANCAGCACATATATCTCAAAGCTCCCGTAAAGCGCCCGCAAAACGCGCATTTGAGTGTGTACGCTTATGTAGAACTCTTGGTTTTTTAAAACGCGCGTTGAAAAACGCCTAGTGTGTACACAGCCTAAGCGTCTCGATAAAGTGCCTCAAAAAAAAAATTTATCCATATTTTTAAAATCGGGAATAGCAGACCTGCCATCCCACCACGTTTCCATTAAAAAATTATATCAAAAGTATACAAAAAAAAACAACAAGAGATAGGCTTATTTATAATACCTTGACAATTCTATGAAAGTACCGACGTACTGTACCTACTCCCAGTCAAGTTGACATTTTTTCTTTCATTTTCTTAGAAAATATGTTATACAGTATTTATAAATTTTATTATCAACTTTAACCGCATTTCTATTATTTAAATAAGTAATTGAAGCACAGAGATTAAAATTTACTAAAATTGTTAGCTAAGACAGATGCTTTGATAGTTTACCAACCACAAAAACAAGTATGAGAGCTCAATAATAGGCATTTTGTAGAAAATACGCATTCGAAACCCAGAAACTTTATCTTTTAAAGACCTTACAATACCTTACGTGATCGACTACCAGAAGCGGTGTTGCGCAATAATTTTTCTATCCCCGAGTCAAGCAACCTGTTTTACATGTCATTGAGAATGAGATCATTTATAATGCTTCCTATAAAGATAGCTCGCCTAAACGTGATCAGATGGAACAATTATGCAAGGATTCCGGCTTAGATGTTCGACTACTGAAAGCAGTCGAAAATAGAAGCCCCACGCTATTTATTTTTAATTTTTTAACGAAAATATTATATACATTTATAACATACAAATACAGTTATACCCCGAACTTACGCGATAGGTGGGACCGAGCGATAACCGCGTAAGTCGAATTCCCGTAAGTCGGGGTATAATTTTGCATATAAATACAGTCATACCCCGACTTACGCGAACCCGGAGTTACGCGATTTTCAAATCTCGTCGATTCGTCTTTTGTTTGAGCGCCACGCAACTCTTGATTATTCACTCCCCCCACACTATTGTCCAGCTTAATGTTCGGACGTGTCGCGCGGAATCGACGCATAGCTACAATTTATTTTGTGTAATTTATTTCTGTTTGTTACATGTACGGAGACTTGAGAGACTCCGTGGTGATTTCTTGTAACCGTGAACGAACCAAAAGGCGAGATAAAATTAACGAGAACATTTATTAGCTTAGGCCTACATACATCCGACTTGGATTTAACACAAAAGGCATCTGCAATCGTAAACAATTGACGAAAAAAGTATACATTTATCAGATAATAAATAAAGACTCATTTTGTAAACAATTTACCTTTTGTATATACAACTGACAAGATTACCTTTCAAATTATAAACAGACTCAATCTCAAGCGGTCTTTTGATCGTCGGGCATACAAAAGAAACGAACAGATGGCGCCTAACTTAAGCGCGGTTTACAATAACGAATATGATTAATCTTAACACACTACTATGTCATCCAAACGAAGTAGAACTGATTCTTCTGCATCAAACAAGAAAAGAAAAACTTTATCTTTGGAATGTAAAGTTAACATTATTAAAGACTTCGATACAAAAATGAAAATTTGTGAATTGGCAAAGAAGTTTGATCTACCGGAAT